ACCTAAGAACCTCCTTGAAGTTGAGGTTCTTTTCGGTGAGGTGATGTCTCAAGTCACGAGCATTGGACGAATCCATGATTGAGGGCTCGTGAACTTGAGTGGCTTTGAGGGTCCACCAACGAGACCTCTTCTTCTTTCCTTATTCCTTCTTCTCTTTTCCCCACACCATGTAGTGCATCATCTATTTACCACCATAGCATCCACCAAGAGGGATCGCCGATGGTTTGGCCTTGGCTTTGCAAAGAGCCGCAAATGGGTCCTTCTCCAAAAGCGCATCGAGGTTGGGTGGAAAGCTTTGTTCGCACTTGTAACTTGTTGAGGCTTCATCCACCATGACCTCGTCTTCATCTTGGACCTCACTTGCTCCTTCTACTTCATCTTCAGTTTCCTCCCCTAGGGAACACCCAAGATCTTCCTCCTCTTTAAAGCTCTCTTCCCCCTCTTCAACCTCTTCTTTCCCATTCATGTCTTCAAGGACGAATTTGAGGGCAAGATGCCATGCAAGGTCATAGAAAGGATTCTCTTGCTCCTCCTCACTCGTGTCTTGGTCTTCAATGCAACCTTCTTGTTCATCCTCACCACTGAAGCTCTCCTAGGTGAGTTCGTCTTGCTCCACACGGTTGTCATTGCTCGCCCTTTCAACCTCCTCGTTCTCCTCCAATAATGAGAGGCGATAGCTTGCACAAGCCCGTTCCACCTTTTTCTCCAATAATGAAAGGCGATAGCTTGCACAAGACTGTTCCACCTTATCCAAAAGGGTCAAACGAGAAGGAGGGAGGGGTTGGAAATCCGTGTTGGAGCTTGTTCTTGTAAAATTCTCCACGGCAAGCTCCAACTTGGACTTCGCTTCGGGTTGTGGGAGATCCAAGTTAGAGCACCCTTCATCGGTGCCTCGAACAAACCGCTCCACCATGAGCTCCAATTTTTCTCTTTGGCTCCAGTTGTGGAGTGGCACATGGTCTGGAGGTTTGTGCCATGAAAGCATCCATGTCCAACTACATCTTGGATTTCTCCTCGAGTTGTGGAGGAAAATTTTCTTGATATGGGGAAGCCTCTTCGTACCCCCATTGGTATGGTTGTTCTTCTTGGAAGGGGGGTTGGTAATAGAACCCGGATCCTTGGCTTCCCCCATCTTGTTCACTCCATGAAGCTCTGGGGTACCCCCATTCGGGTGGTTGTGGATACCCCCACATATTGTAGAAGCCATTGGGATCCATGATTCATAACCTACAAAAACAAAAACACAAAAAGAAAATCAAAGAAACACAAACAACCCTTCAAGACGAAGGGTGGGTAAACAAAACACACATGAAACACAAAACATAAAAAAGAGGCAAGATAGAAAATGCTAGACTAACACTAAGCAGCCTTTTTAAAGTAATGGACCACGGTTCCCCAGCAACGGCACCAGAAGCTTGACACGCACGGAACTACACCACAATAAAACCCCAATTAGACCCCAAGTTTTTGAACTCTAATCGGGTGCAGTATAGGGCAAGTATTTAGATATCGACCTGGGCCGGTCCGTCTATCCCTACTTCAACTATTTAAATCATTATCTAGCAACAAAACTTTGGTTTAAAGGTTTGCTAATTGAAATAAAAGAAAGCAAAGGTGATTGGGTTTGAAAACTCTTTTGTGGGAAAGTCACTCTAGTGTCGCTTCCCCCTAACCACTACCATGCTATGTGGATTGGAACGATTGCCTTGGGCACGTTAATCGCGAACCGTAGAGGAATACATATGTGGTCGGAGACCACAGTCTCAATTGCTAAACCGAGGTAAGGATGAAAGGCCATGTCACTCGAACCTCTCGGTTTAGAAAATCAGTAATTGACTTACTCCCTCACTCAACTCTAAGGTCGGTCGGTTAATCACGATTAATCGACTTGCTTAACTCAATATTGAAGGTCTCCCTGACTTAACCTAGTTTAGTTGGCTTAGAAAGCGGATAGAAAACCAACTCGGTTGAGTCTCCCTTGAAAGGGGGATTATCCTCTCTAAACTAGGCTAAGTGGCAAATTAGATTACTAGCACCTAAATGCACAAACCTAGGGGTGCTAAGCACAATTATGCACAATCCTTAGGTTGCTAAGCACCTAAATGCACAAACCTAAGGATGCTAAGCACAAAACATGCACAACCCCTAGATTGCTAAGCACAAGTATGCACAATCATGATAAATAATGCCTCAATCATTGAATTGAACAAATGCCCAATGGCAATCATCCAAAACACATACAAGAAAACTACATGGTAGAGTTAGGGTTTCACTACACCCAAGTGAACGGAGGTCTACTTCACGGTCAACTGCTTGTGTTCACGGTCTTAGTGACCGTGAACTCACCTTGCGTCAGTAACCTTCACATTGGCTCTGGACGCCTCCCGATTTACGGTCAACTCCCCTTCTTCACGGTCTTGCTTGACCGTGAACTCCTTTAGGTAGCCGTGAAATGGCTCTTTTTACCTCCTCCCGGTTTTTGATCCTTTTCGTAAATCTTTCGACTTTGAGGATGGTTTCACCTGTTAAATCATGAAACACACTCAAACACGAAAGAAGCTAGCGTAAAACAACCTTTAAGGAGCGAATTTGGCACAAACATCTAAGTAAAACGGGGGCAAAACATGTGCAATTAGGCCCGAATCAGGATGGCTCACCAACTGCCCAAATCGGCCTAGTTGGAGTGCGAGACTATGAATTAGTTTTAATAAACAGATATTTCCAGATATTCCCCCTAGTTGAGGGATACGCTGGCGGTTAAAATCCTTACGACCGTTACGAAAAGCCAGGTTTTCGTTGAGTCCGTTGGGAACACGCTCCTGACCACGTTTCTTCATCCAACACAGCCGGCGGCACACACTCTGTCGGTAGAAAGTCACCAGCCGGATTGTGATTGTGATGGGTAGTAATAATCGTCCTTCTAGTAGCTCGACAGACATCGCTCCACCTCAGAGTATGAATTCTGACGCAGCCAGGTTGTTTTGCACGTTGATGTCCTTTACAGGAATAATAGCATCACATGATAGAGGAACTGGAACTGCCCGTTCTTCTCCATCAATCTCACTGGATGACGGGAATCGAAACCGCCACACCTGCATCCCGACATACCTCGCCCCATCTCGGGATCTGAGTTCTGACATAGCAGGGATGCCTTGAACATGGATTTCTTTTGCAGGAATATTAAAGTTGCATGAAGGAAGAACATGAACATCCCACCCATCTCCTTCTACCTCACTCGACGATGGGAGGTGAAACCTCTACCCCTGTTGCTTGAATTTCCGCAAGCATTTAGCTAGAGGGTCGGCTTGTGCATGACCCATGGTTAGATCTCTCTTCCGTTTATAGAGGCCAGGAAAGGAGCCGCACTTATTCGTCCAATCACTGTTCTGCATGCTTGGACCCTGGGCATCTTCTTTCTTGCAGCGAGGGATCTTGCCCCACTGGTAATCCCTCAGGCCCTGATTAGCTAGGGCCACATCAAGAATTAATGTAAACGAACAAAAGATAACCCTGCCGGCCGTCACGAGAAGTAGCTGAGCCAGCGCCCACCAAAACTTGATGAGAGAGGAGAGAGCTCCTCTCTTCATTCTTTTTTTTTAAGTCCCTCTGGATTTGTTCGGACAGAGCCTTGCTCGTGGCATTATACATCAAAAGTATGTAAATTCATTTTACTCCTGGGTCTAATTTTTAGTTTAATCATTAAATAATAAATTTATTTAAGAGTAAACCACAAGATAATAGGTAGAATTCAATATAAAATATCCAACAAATCTGGAGAGAAAAGTATAGAAAAAGGGCCACGTAGTCTACAAGTATATAGATAACTGAATATTTTTTCTGCCCCAATTCAAAAAAAATTTATAAGAGTGATATAGGGTTTTTTTTGTGATTAAGGTACACTACAAGAGAACCCACGTATAGCGGCTAATTGTTGAGGCAAATATTATATTTGCCACTAAAAGAATATTATAAGCAACACATATATAATTGGCCTCAATAGGTACCATTATGTGCCTCTAAAAATATTACTTATGCAACACATATAATTTGCCTCAATAGGCATAATTATGTGCCTCTAAAAGTATTAGATATACTACACATACATAATTTGCCACTATAGCAATTAAGTTTAGAAACTCTAAAAGCTTTGTAACGACTAATAATTCTTTTGCCGCAATAAATATTTTATATTTGTCGCTATAACTAGGGATGGCAATGGGTCGGGTTGGGGCGGGTTTTGTCAAACCCAAACCCAAACCCATGGGTTTATCCGCCAAAAAAACCCGGGGTAAAACCCGCTGGGTTTGAAAAACTCAAACCCAACCCAACCCGCTGGGTATCCGCGGGTTTATGTGTACCCGTGAGTTTTGTGGTAAAAAATTTACAATAACAAGTTTCTTTCAAAATAAAAGTTTAACATCAATTTTCTCATACAAATTAATCATACAAAAAACACCAATCTAGAGCATACAAGCAAACCGCAAATGATCAATACAAATTGTTCAAAATTAAAGATAAACATCTATAAATAATAAGATTAATTGAAAGCTTCTTCCTCGTCAACTAAATTTCTTCACTCTCCACTTCATAATATCAACTTCATTCTAAACAATTAGAAAGAACAAATTATACATGTCACCACAAAACATAAAGAATATTAGTTGTTTAAGGAAGATATATTATTTAGAATACTAAATATACAAGGAAAGTAATAATATGTGTGTGGGCGGGTACCCATGGGGCGGGTTTACCTAAACCCAAACCCAACCCGACCCGGTGAATAGTGTAGCGGGTTTAAACCCGAACCCGGTCCAAAACCCGTCAACACGGGTTGGATCGGGTGGGTACCCGTGGTTCGGATTTTGTTGCCATCCCTAGCTATAACTATCCGAATCCGACTATCTCTACAAGAAATTTCACCAAATGAAAAGTGATTGGGAGGGAAAAATAAGAAGGAGCGGGATTTTCATTTTTTTGTTTTGGGCTGGCGCACTCAGTTCCCGCTTTCCATTTCAATTTTTTCATTTTCATCTCCCACTCCCAGACCTCTTCCTTGAAAATCCCCAATTAGAAGGAGAGAGAGCATACCATCGACAACAACACCCACACCACCAATCAATCTATCTTCATCTCCCAACCCTTCTCCCCCTTATCGCTGCGCTTATTGCTGGCTCAAACCCTAGATTTCTCCGTTTCGCGCCGCCCTCCGAAACCTTCCTCCTCCAGGCGCAAGAACCAGAAGGCAGCATCTCCTTCCCGCCGGTGGCCTTTGCATCAATCCCTGGCCACCTCTTCCTAATCCCTCCATCATCAATCCATTCAATAGAACAGGAATCAAACTTTGAAATCTCCTACGATGAGCATAACGACGACAGTGGAGAAGTCTTGCAATGAAAACTGCGAGACAAGATCTTATGGAGATGATAATGGCAAAGATAGAACAATCGGGAGACCGATCCGGTAGAGATTCCTTCTTGCGACATTGGGTCGATATGAAAACTGACCCAATCTCTGGTCTCCTGTCCAGCGGTGGCGCCGATTGACGGTATTGTTTTTTTACCAGTTTACGTTCCTAAGCTAAATATTGGGTTGTGGGGAGGGGGGGGGGGGGGGTGTTCTCATCCGGTTTCAATTTGTGGCGGTGGCTGTTAGAAGATGTGATTGGCTGGTGCTGGTGCTTGCTTTGTCACTTGGAGAAGCAGTTTGTAAAGGGATCAACGATGGTAACTTGGATGTCTCTCCTAGAGAGCTTAGAGTAATGGTGAGTGATGTTAAGTTTGAGTAGCTTAGGTGCTTGGATAGTTATATTTATATTCTGTTTTTTGCATTCAATTTGAAGGAACTGAGTTGATTGCTTGGAAATGTTTGATGTTTTGTTTTCCCTTGTCATACTCTTTTTTCTTTGGTGTCTCTGTTTCAGTTCATGCTGCTGGTAGTGCTCTGTGCTGGCTGCAATCTCAGGGTGCTCTACCAGATTGTGAAGCTCTATTTCTACTAACCCATAGTAAGTATGTGCATTGTATTATCTTCCCTAACTCTGTTTATATAAGGGATGGGTTTGAAATTTGCATTTTTGAAATTTGGCTGTCGTGTGCTGTGTGCTTTCTTTTGGGACAAAATAGAGGGAGCTTGTTTCATGCTTTTGATTTGCCCCCTGTTTGGGCTTATGTAAATTTCTTTGTTCAAGCTTATGTAGACTGCTATGATCCATATTAAAGTTCTTAGATGAATGATTCATGAGCTGCATCGGTGTCCCTTTTTTTATAACTATGAACTGGATTGCATGCTTGTGCTAGATTTTTATGCTCAATAATCATTATAATCATAGTCTAATTGCAAGTTAGTTTGCACGTATGTTTTGGGACTATAGAAGCTGCTACTGTAATGAAATTTGGTCCCTCAAGGAAGCACCTTGTGAATGAATGAATAGGTTATGGAATTTTGCAACTTTTTAACTCAATGATTCTGTTGAATTAATATTGTAATGAACTTCCTCGGCAGAGTGGTCTGGAAAACTTCCTCGACGGCGAGATTTGGATGGTCGTCGTCCACAGATCGACTACCTTCTTCAGCTCTGAATGGCCACGGCCACCGCTCTTCTCCTCCGATGGGTTGTTGAAGGACTTTTCTAGTTTTCTTGGGAAAGAGCTGGTGGGTGCGACGACGGAGGATTTTCAGCGACGAGAAAAAGAAGGGGAAGGGGAAGTCTAAGTGGCGGATAAAAAAAAGATTGTAGGGTTTTTCAATTAATGAAAAGAAATGGGCTATTTTCACTTGATATTTTCTTTTATTATTTTTATTATTTAATTAATTAAAATTTTTCCACGTAAATATCAATCATTAATCCAGTCAGCATCGATAGTTAATTCGTTAAAGTTTTGGACCGAATGGCTATTTCTCTGTATTATTTTAAAGATGACTATTATTGTCAAGAAGTGGATAATTATGGCTATAAAGATGTATTTTGTCTTATAATTAAAATTATGATTTACATATAAATTACCATATTTTATTTTACATCTAAAAAGAAATCCAATTTGTTGAATCTAAGAACAATTTTACAAGCACAAACTTTGGCCGCAAGTAGATCAATTAAAGGCACATGTATTAGCCTCAATAGGTAATTTCACAAGCAAATCTATATGCCTCTAAAGATAATATTAGAGGCAAATATTTATGTCTCTATTAGAGGATACAAAGGCAAAATAAAAATAACATTAGTAACTAAAATATTAGCTGCAAAATCTATAATCAGCAACAAATAATATATGCCTCTATATTTGCCTTTGTAGGGCTATAGCCACTGGAGTATTTGAGGCAAATGTTTTGTTTGCCTCTAAATATATATAGAGACAAATAATGGATATATAGAGGCAAATTTTCTTAGTCGCTATATAAGGATTTTCTTGTAGTGGTACTACTTAAGGGATTCAAACCTGGGACTTCCAGGTTCTAGGCTAGTGGTACTACCACTAGACCAAGCCCTTGTTCGTGCCCCCATTCAAATTTTAATTGCATCGAGAGTGAAAGTATGAATCGTATTTTTGTCTTCACAATGATCTATTTGTTTCTCATTATTTCTTAAAAAAATACGCATATTAGGATTTGAACCGTGGTCATTTTCAACTATGATAAGAATCTTAACCAATCATGCTACATAGATTAGTTGTATCATTTTAAATAAAAAACATACATGAAGCTAAAATTAAAAAATCACAGAACTTTTCAAAGGTTAGCTAAGGTCGCTAAATCTTCGCTCAATACTTATTGGTGTTTTCATACTTTGATTTTCATATTTAATTATTTTAATTATACTGTAATACTTAATTTAAATTTTTATTTATCGTATAAATAGACAATAACTTTAAAATCATAGACCAAATATCATTGGTCCAATATTACATATCGAATTGCAATATCGAATGTGTAGAAGCGATGTTGAACTCCTACATTAGTATTAGTTTATAGAACTACTATGAGGCAATCATATTCATATCTTTCTGCAAACTACACGGGGACGGGTTCTTTGAATTTTTTTTAGCTCGGTTAACTGACTCGCACGTAACTAGACCACAATTAAACACCAATTAGAGCCCAAGTTTTTAAACTCTAATCGAGTGCAGTATAGGGCAAGTATCTATATATCGATCCGGGCTGGTCCTTCTACCCCTACTTCGATTGTTGAAATCATTATCTAGCGATAAAACTATGATTTAAAGGTTTGTCAATTGAAATGAAAGAAAACAAAAGTAATTTGGTTTGAAAACTCTTTTGTGGGAAAGTCACTTGGGTTTCACTCCCCCCTAACCGCTACCATGCTACGTGGGTTGGAACGATTGCCATGGGCACGTTAATCGTGAACCGCGGAGGAAAGCGTATGTGGCCGGAGACCATAGTCTCGATTGCTAAATCGAGGTGAGGATGAAAGGTCGTGTCACTCAACCCTCTCGGTTTAGACAATCGGTAATCGGCTTACTTCCTCACTCATTTCTAAGGTTGGACGGTTTAACCAAGATTAATCGACTTGTTCAATTCAATATTGAGGATTTCCCTAACTCAACCTTGTTTAGGTGGCTTGGAAAGCGGAAGGAAAACAACTCGATTGAGTCTCCCTTAAAAAGGGGGATTTTCCTCTCTAAACTAGGCTAACTTGGCAAATTAGATTACTAGCACCTAAATGCACAAACTTAGGGGTGCTAAGCACAATTATGCACAATCCCTAGGATGCTAAGCATAAAATATGCAAAACCCCTAAGTTGGTAAGCACAAGAATGCAAAATTGATGCAATATCGACTACCACGATATTTAACTCCCGTGGTCCAAAGATAAAGGTTCGAATAAGGAGATTTAAAGATCAATTAGGAGCGTTCTTAATGGATATTTGGCCTTATTATCCAAGCCCATCCACGTTAACAAGTGCCATGGATTGAAGTGGAAATATGTTTATTAATTAAGCATGCATGGCCACGTGAGTTATGATGGAATTGCATGGGTTGATTTGGTTGGTGGAGTTTATTGTTCGTGGAAGGCTCTAGGAATAATAAAGGTGCAAGGAATATTAGTTGGTTGGTGGAAAAGCTAGCTTGTACGTGAAGACAGAATGAAAAGGAAAGCTAGAGCTACGAAGGACATGGTAATCATCGTCATGGGTTGCCAGGTTGGAAGCTGATATGAGCTCCGCAATTGCTACGGAAAGGGACTCATTGTCCGCCAAGGAGAAGGAAAGAAACAGAAGTGATTCCGTGAGGGAGAAGGAAGCGCATAGCGGAGCGTTGAATTGGATTTTAAGTGTTTAATTATTTCTTAAAGTAGTAGTATGTTTCCTAGTTAGTTTGGGATTTGTTTTCCTATTCCTTTTAGGTTAGTTTTATGTTTTTGTGACCTCTATAAATAGAGGATGTAAGAGCTACGAATTTGGTACACCCAACATTCAAGTTTCAGCAATCAAATACAAGTTTTTACAAGTTCAAGTGAACGTTTTGCTTATTCGCTCCTTTGAGGATTCGGGAGGTTTGAGTGGTCTCTTATCAACTAGAGAACGCGTCTAGTTGTTGCGAGCATCGACGATATTGGTTGGCCTCTTCCACGGGTTCGAGATTGTTTGGAAGGTTTCATATACCTTCTGGCCCTTCTCACGAGTTCGGATTTGTTTGATCGATTCCGCAAGTATCTTTACTTTCGTGCTATTCAAGAAAGGCGAAAACCCAAAAAAGAGTTCGACGTTGTGCAATTCTGATTTTTGGTCCAAGTTCGAGGATCTCTTCGAATTAGGGTTATATCAAGTGGTATCAAGAGTCCGGTTCAAACTCAGTGGCGATTTGAGGATTACCGGTTCAAACTCAGCGGCGAAGGTGTGTTATACGATATCCTTTACTTTTAGTTCTTGTTTTTTTTTATTGTTCAAGAAAAGCCAAAAAAAAAAATATTTTACCGCTAAAAAAAAGGCATATTGACAAAAACAAAAAAACGTTAGCACAAAAAAATAAAGGTAGTTAAAAAAAAAAGGAAGAGTTGTGTAGTGAAATTTTTATTCTTGTTCTTTAATTGTTGACGTGACGTGAGTAGGTAGAAAGAAAATAGGTTACAGAAAAGAAGAAAAAAAGAGAGAAAGTGTTGTGTAATCTTCACGTATTAAAAAAATGGTCATACAGCCACAAAGCTCTACGTAGAAGAAAAAAAAATTGTATGTTTTGGTTTTTGTGGTTCTTGTTTAATTTTGGATCCAGCGATGGCGGAAGAGGTAGAACAAGGTAATATGTTCTATACTCGTTGTTGGGTTCAAGAGCAGTCACTACAAGAAAATCCTTATATAGCGACTAAGAAAATTTGCCTCTATATATCCATTATTTGTCTCTATATATATTTAGAGGCAAACAAAACATTTGCCTCAAATACTCCAGTGGCTATAGCCCTACAAAGGCAAATATAGAGGCATATATTATTTGTTGCTGATTATAGATTTTGCAGCTAATATTTTAGTTACTAATGTTATTTTTATTTTGCCTTTGTATCCTCTAATAGAGACATAAATATTTGCCTCTAATATTATCTTTAGAGGCATATAGATTTGCTTGTGAAATTACCTATTGAGGCTAATACATGTGCCTTTAATTGATCTACTTGCGGCCAAAGTTTGTGCTTGTAAAATTGTTCTTAGATTCAACAAATTGGATTTCTTTTTAGATGTAAAATAAAATATGGTAATTTATATGTAAATCATAATTTTAATTATAAGACAAAATACATCTTTATAGCCATAATTATCCACTTCTTGACAATAATAGTCATCTTTAAAATAATACAGAGAAATAGCCATTCGGTCCAAAACTTTAACGAATTAACTATCGATGCTGACTGGATTAATGATTGATATTTACGTGGAAAAATTTTAATTAATTAAATAATAAAAATAATAAAAGAAAATATCAAGTGAAAATAGCCCATTTCTTTTCATTAATTGAAAAACCCTACAATCTTTTTTTTATCCGCCACTTAGACTTCCCCTTCCCCTTCTTTTTCTCGTCGCTGAAAATCCTCCGTCGTCGCACCCACCAGCTCTTTCCCAAGAAAACTAGAAAAGTCCTTCAACAACCCATCGGAGGAGAAGAGCGGTGGCCGTGGCCATTCAGAGCTGAAGAAGGTAGTCGATCTGTGGACGACGACCATCCAAATCTCGCCGTCGAGGAAGTTTTCCAGACCACTCTGCCGAGGAAGTTCATTACAATATTAATTCAACAGAATCATTGAGTTAAAAAGTTGCAAAATTCCATAACCTATTCATTCATTCACAAGGTGCTTCCTTGAGGGACCAAATTTCATTACAGTAGCAGCTTCTATAGTCCCAAAACATACGTGCAAACTAACTTGCAATTAGACTATGATTATAATGATTATTGAGCATAAAAATCTAGCACAAGCATGCAATCCAGTTCATAGTTATAAAAAAAGGGACACCGATGCAGCTCATGAATCATTCATCTAAGAACTTTAATATGGATCATAGCAGTCTACATAAGCTTGAACAAAGAAATTTACATAAGCCCAAACAGGGGGCAAATCAAAAGCATGAAACAAGCTCCCTCTATTTTGTCCCAAAAGAAAGCACACAGCACACGACAGCCAAATTTCAAAAATGCAAATTTCAAACCCATCCCTTATATAAACAGAGTTAGGGAAGATAATACAATGCACATACTTACTATGGGTTAGTAGAAATAGAGCTTCACAATCTGGTAGAGCACCCTGAGATTGCAGCCAGCACAGAGCACTACCAGCAGCATGAACTGAAACAGAGACACCAAAGAAAAAAGAGTATGACAAGGGAAAACAAAACATCAAACATTTCCAAGCAATCAACTCAGTTCCTTCAAATTGAATGCAAAAAACAGAATATAAATATAACTATCCAAGCACCTAAGCTACTCAAACTTAACATCACTCACCATTACT